AGATTTCCAATTTAAGGGGGATGTACAAGCCAAATTGGATCTAGTCTAGCTGGTGTAAAATAAGAAATACCAAGAATGCGCTTAATACTCTACTAAACTAGCCCAAAGTTACTCAAAGTGCTAATACACTAATTACCTACTATTAGAGACCAAAATTAGTAAATAATTAAGTTTATTTTGTTTTAATTAGGAGGAAATTAATCATGTTAGAACTGCGCAGCTACAGCATTCACGAGATGAAAAATGCATTGAAAATGGTGTTAGTTTGATTCATTGATAATATGGCTACAACCATTTGTTTCGCTTTTTTCTTGTCATTATCCATAATTCTTGAAAATTTGATTTTTCACATGGGTGTCTTCCTGAGGCCATGTGTTTATTTCGTCCGCCATTCCTCTGTCACACAGAGTTCGAATAACATTGATTTTAGGATAAATGCGACCATAATAACATCAAGACAAGAAATTACTAAGTAATAATCATTAGGTTATATTACTTGCTACTTTTATTTGTTGCATCGCATCGTCTGATTAATAAAAAAACGATATTTTATCCCCACTCCAGCAAATCGGGAAAAGCTTTTCTATTTACAGCTCGAGTTTCCTCGTTAATATTATTCCACTGAGCACGTGGTTGGCATGTGCATATATCTGCTGTGGATAGATGCGTTTATTACCATGATTATATTAAATTTTTCATGGAACAAGTCTTGATAATTTGTTGGTTTCTTTAAAACTCAAGAAAAAAGATAAAAATGTCCTAAACATATGTGTTTACGTCGGGTCTTTTTTCTGTGGCGATAGAAGTTATTTTCAAATGGGCCACTGCAAGGAGGATGCTTAGCATTTAATTTGAAAATGTTAAACAATATGCGGTGCATGAAAAACAAAGTGTTATTACATGTCTTACATTCGAAAAGTTGGTACATATGTCTATTTTGTTTAGCAATTAGATAGAAAAAATAGGCAGTTATAAGATTTCCTTCAGGCACCTCACATAAATAGCTTGATTGTTTGCAATGACCCACACATTGTATGGAGTAATGTTTGGACATAAAAACGCATCATGTCTCATTATGTAAACAACGTTGTAAGCTCTCGCTCATTGAACATACGAAGCTTGATAAAATATATTGAGTTGTTTCTTTGAAATTTAGAAGCAAGCACAATGTTTGCAAAGAAAGGTCCATTGCATATGCTATGTCTATCATTGCACAAAAAGTGAGAGGCTACCCCCCCCCCCCCCCCCCCGAAAATCTTATGCTTGTTTTTCAAAATAGTGCCAAAGATTCAAAAAGTTTGCATTACTAAGTACATTGTATGTGATGGAACATGTACTAGCCTTATAAGACCATTTGTTATAAAAAATTTTTGGCTGCCCTCTCTCCCGATCTACTGCCTAGAAATGGCCCGACTCATTTTTTTACATCCCATTACACGGTATTTGTTTTACTTCTGTCAACAAATGTTTAAATTTTAAGGAATTTTTTTCTCACCTATAAATACCGACCCAATAATTTTTCCCCGAGTTGGGAGGACCACCAAACGTCATTTTAAAGATGGTATAAAATATTTAATTATGTTGATTTTTTTTCTTTACTCTTGTAAAATTGTTATTTTGACAAAATGTGCAAATAGAAAAAAATTTTTTTTATTTATTAAATCTTCTAACCCACTCTGAATGATTTCATTCCTTTTCAAATGTTGCTCCGCTGTAATGAAAATTGTAAATGTTTATTTGACAGAGTATACGAGGGGTGATCAAAAAGTAAACAATATCTTAGGTATTTGATAGTTATATTATTGTTGAAATATTCAAGTATTTTTTAAAGTATAAATTAGAGGTCTTTGATAGCATATTGCTTAATTAAAAACACATCCCTTTTCAAACTTGCTTTCACCGGGCAACATAACAAGTATCATATTTAACCATGCATCTGCCTTCCTTCACTAAAATGATCTATCCAATCATTGAATGAATTTATAGGAAGTCATTTGTCTTAATAAACTGTTTTAATGAGGACTATCTATTGTTAGAACTTGTGTCCAATCCCTTTGACATATTGTCAATAAAAATATGTTCAAAACGATAAACTGTGAGCAAATTCTTATACGCTACTTCAAAGGCATTTTTAAGATATACCATAAATATTTTAGTCGTTTGTTGAATGAGTTCCACACTGAGACAACCATTTTTCGTCACAAGTGACCTGCATAATGACGTCATTTTCACATTGTGAGCAAAACTTTATTCAGCATATGCTATTTATAGAACTTGTGGTTGGCTATGTGTGCACCAAATTTGTTTCTAATCTGAATTGTGGTTTCGTAGATACACATGTATAGAGATAGTTCGCGAACTTTTTGATCACCCCTCGTACTAGTAGGTACTAAAACAAGGTCATTCATATCGATTTTATGTGTGTGTTTTCTTTGTTTTTAATAGTGATAATTAAACTTTTGATAGATATTATAAGTTATCTGTGGCAAACTTACAAACTCTTAATTTTTAGCCGGGCTTATTGCTCAAAGAGCAATTGCCGGCTTATGTGATCCTGTTGAAGGCAGGAAGTCAACCCCATAGTCGCCATTTTAAAGTTACGTGCAAAAATATAGTTCTTTCTCTCCACCGCTTTTGAGATAATACAAACGCTCAGTAAAGCAACAAAAATTAAACAAAGTTTTATCTATATAAATAAATATTAGTAGACTAGTAATGACTTCAGTCCTAAGTCAAAGAACATAGTTCATTAGCGTAAGGATTTTTAATAATCAGTGTTATCGTAGTTCTTTACACATACGAGGTAAAACCAGACTGGCCTGTTTGTTTACATTCAGCTGCGGTACCAGATTAATTCTGATTCTGACAAAATGGGACCGTGGTATTAGGATTGAAAAACTCACTGTCAGTGTCTTATCATTTATATTGATAGTTTTAAAATAATTTTTTCATCAGAATATAAACGTGATTCATGTAAAAAATTCATTCTACTCTGTAAATGAGCCCGGCTCTCTGTACCTTTGAGTACTTTGATTAACTTTGATGGTGCTCATTTTTCCTTACCTGGAATGTCAAAGAGTTTAAGATTTTTTTTCATATCAATACGTACACTATTTAACAACTGTTCGATAATAATACTAAATAAATTACTTCAAGAAACACTTTAACACTGCATATCCTCTATTAAAAGTGTTCATATCATTTGAAATATTTTGCAACTGTAATTCTCTTCTACATTTAAAGATTGTTATGTCCCTCCATATTAAGAAGAGGTCTGGAAAACAAAATTATGTGCTAAAAATAGACCACGTGCTGCTATCCATGAACTACGTTCATGGTTCTTTACACTCTTTTTGAAGACAACAATACATTGTTTTGAACTTGAAATTATCATTTAAAAGTGCAAAATTTAGACATTTTCTCAACAAATGGTTGTAGAGAGAACATTAATGCACAGTTGGTGTATTTTTGGGGATTTTTTAAGGCTTTGCTGAATTCTGTAGCTGCGCAGTTCTAAGGAGCGCGGCAAAAGCATTTTTCTGCAAAAGCATAGATTATATATGCACAACATGCATTCAGTTATGCATATTTATTGTATCTTTATCATAAAGACCTAAAATTTGATCAAAACATAATGTATTTTAGCTATTTGAAGAAATGTTTACATTTTGTTCTCACTGCACTAAAGGTGGCCATACATCCCCCTTAAAGAGGACTTGTATAAGCCATGTCTGATGTCCAATTCATTTATCTAAAATATCCTGATTGAACTAAAACAAATTTCCAATATATGTGTGTAGTTGTCCAACTGTGGTTTTTTTTTCATTTTACATTTAACATTGTTCATTTCATAACTACTGTACATGTGTATAACCAATTTAAACATGTTAAAAAATGATTTTGTTGTCTTTCATAAATTCTACTTTACAATTAAACAATATAATTTTCACAATTAACATGCATGTCATCTGCATTAAGAAATCAATTGGGCATGATTGGCATAATGTTGAAAAACATTTTGCAAAGTATACTTTTAGATTCTTCTCTTCATTACCAACCAATACTTCAGTTTCATTGTTAATTTGTTGTGCATTAGATTCATTTTAAATATTGCTTTTAAAATCATCAGTAATTTTTGTAATTTTATTCGATCATCAGTGTGGCTTTATTTGCCTGGATTTTGTGTATTTTGTTTTATTAACCTCTGTGAGCTCCTCTCGCTAAATTCTCCAATATTTAAAAAGTATAAGAGAAACATCGTTTATTTTCCCCCACAGTGGCGTGGAAGGACAATAGGAGAATGGCCGCCAACACTGGGCTGAGTACGTACAGAAATCCTGATGGAAGTCAGGCCCTGGTTCATCAGGCCACCATTACTACAGCTCACGGTCAGTTCAGCGTTTGTTTAAACAGGGACTACATTTATAGAATAGTTAAAGGCATTCTTTCTTTCTTCTAATTTATGATATTCATTTTATCTTCTTAATTTATAAGGTCAATAAAATTTGCTTATATCTGTAATTAAATTTGCATACACAAATTACAAAAATGTAGAACAATTTAGTAATGACAGTTCTATATACATATATACATGTTATGGCTTCTCAGGGGTAAAGTATGGTTAAGTACTGCAAATTAATGTACATACATGTAAATAAGTGCATCCAAATTTACCCGAAAATCTCCCACATCTGATAATAAATAATTTTTCATCTCAAAAATAATGAATTCAGATGTTAATTTATCAAATTGTTACAAATACATGGTGTCAACTGACCATCATTAATTTCTTTCTCTCCTGATTTTTCAGAGTTGGGTAAGTAAATTTACTCTCTCTCTCTCCTCTCTTCAAAATAAATATAAGTCTTAGATTTAAGACTTAAAAAATAATTTGATTCTTAGTGCATATCAAAGTTCAAGTTCTCTAAATTCCTTGTTTTAAAAATAATTATTACAAGATCGTCATTGATGTTTGCATGGTATTGCCTATCATATTTCCAGGTCATAACTGGGGCAGTGAGCATGACCCAGATACCGATTCTTGTGCCCCGTCCACCTCATCTGGGGGCCGGTACATCATGTATCCCTCCGCGGTCTCGGGGTACGAAAAAAATAATCAGGTCAGTCTAGACTAATGGTAATTTATTTTATTATACTTTCATGTTAAATACTAAAATCTGATTGGTTTAGACGCAGTTAACAATCCGTTCGATTACCCTGAGCCTTAGCAACACACGTGACAATGGGTAACACAACGGTAATGCCACATGCGTGGAAATTATGCGCGTACGGTTCACTGTAGAATTCTCTAAACGTCAGTTGCGCATTTGAAAGAACCGGAATTAACTTGACGTCAAGAAAAGCTTGCGTCCGATATAGCTAACTTGAAAACAACAAACGACAGACAATAGTTGCTTGCGAGTGTAGGAAACATGCTTGCGAGCCAGAAATAACGAAACTTTATATGATAAATGACTCTAATTCGAGTATCAAACAAACAGGTGAGTGTGAAAGCTTTCTATACATGAACGTAAAGACGATCGACGTTTTTTTTTTTTGCTGACGTCCTAAATCAATAAGACATTCAGTATAATAAAATAAATGGTGCCTGTTTTGGAGGGTAACATTTGAAATTGACACCCCTCGGAAAACCATTGTCAACCTCCGCTGACGCGTCGGTTGACAATGGTTTTCCTTGGGGTGTCAATTTCAAATGTTACCCTCCAAAACAGGCACCATTTATATAATGTCAATCATAATGTTGCCTTTTATCCTACAACCAGTTGTGTTAAATAAGGCTGATACTTGAATGTGGCTTGATTTGATGATAAATTCTAGCCTGCAGGCTTTTCTTTTTAACTTCCAGGGAACAAATTTTTTTTGGTACTAGTATGTAGTCTTGAAAATAGTATAAAAAAATAAGTATTGAAATTGAAATTTTCAGAGAAAAGAATTTTCTCATCGATACTGTACCTACCGACCCAACATTTTCAGATCAAGATGGGAGAAGGAAAATAAACATTTTTCCAAAGTTGGCCTATTAAGTGTATACATTCGTATTTGTCTTTCAGCTGTTTTCTCCATGCAGCAGACAGTATATATTCAATGTCATCAAGACAAAGGGCTACAACTGCTTTAAAGGTAGGATATAATCACTGTCATGATTTAAATGTGTTGTTACACTGTTCATCACTTTAATCTTGTGACCTTTTGCATAGGTTGATTGCATTCGACTCTCACTCGATCAGGCCAAAATGCTTGTTTATATAATTCCACCATACAATTTTAAGTGAGCTATATGTATGCATTGTAATTTAAAAGTTTTTGACTGGTATAGCATCTCTCATCTGTTTTTGCTGTAGATGCTGTGATATCATATGCTTTAAGTCAATAAAAATAACTTGTAATGAAGATGGGGAAAAAGCACGCAGTACAGTTAAGGTGCGCAATGGAAATATCGGCTAAAATTTGTATTTAAAAATGTATTCGTAATCGGGATGGCGACTATTTTTGGTACATTATTTATATCGGATAATTATAATTATGATTAATAACTACATATCGAGGACAATTATATTTTGTATTTAGACTAGTCACGTGATGCGGCAGTCACGCGATTTTAGCACATTGACTTGAAGTATTGATGTTACATATAAATATCACTAGTGCAAGGGCATAACCAAGTTAAATATCCAAGTTTAGTATATAAGTATTTTCAAAAAGCATTGTAGTTTCTAGAAAGTGCTGCGATCCTGTCTAAATTCTGCAATTTCATTGTTAAAATTATACTTGTATGACCGAATGCTATATTTTTTGCTGGTCAGCGGCATGAAATATTGATATAATTAATTTGTTTTTAAGATTTCATCAGGATCGCGGCACTTTTCAGATACCTTAATAGATCTTTAGTTGAAATGCAAAAAATTACTTTGATCCACAGAGTGTATGCCCTTGCACTAGATCGATTTATTAAGACCCCCCACATTACCCTCCGATTTACTTGCATACAAATATACGGCAGTGTCAATTAAATACGTAATGTACAGAATATATATTAATAAAATAGCGAAGAAGACATCAAATTCAAGTTATTGTCCCATAGAATATCTGAAAACTATATTCTATTTAATTAGAGAAAACATATTTTGTTGAGAAAATATTACTTAATCTGTCTCTCACTGCATACAAACTACGTCACGTTGTAAGAAATGACGTCATATTGACAAGTGTTTTGCGATCAGTGACTTGTTTATAACTTGTTATGTGGGATTTAACTAGCGACAAAACAACACGCTGTAGTACGTTTTTAAGTAGTTTGATGATTTCTTACTAGTTAAATTACCAGATAGACTCATTTTGTGGTATTTTAAAGAAATGTTGTATGACGTATACTGTGTATGATGTCATAGTCAAGTTTTCCCGTACAAATTAGGCTCCGCCTCCTTTTTGTAACCTTAACTGTGCTGCGCAGATCCTTGGCTAACTGTAGAATATTTTTTTTACACTAACCTCATCAGAATCCAGATAGTATTTAATTAATTGCCTTTATTTTGATTTTATGCAGAGGGCTCCAAATGTTTAATTTTTGTGATATTTTAAAATGTATAAAGATAAGTTTTTGTGCTTTAATTTTCTACAGTACGTTATAAAAAATGAAGTCAAAACCAATATAATTTTCATATCATTTTATAAACTAGAGTCCTCTGGTAAGTTTTAATTTCTTTCCCCCCTGTGTTTGTTTAATTTTAAACAGCTAGCCATTATAGTGAATATATGCTTATACTCAAACTTCTGTACATAAACATCAAAAACTTTAGCTTCATTTCCTCTACATGCAATGGTATTTCTCTTAAGGGTACTGGCATGGAATGGTGTATCTGATTTTTTGTTTGGTTTTACATGTACTTTTGATTTCAGTAAGTTAGCTTAAGACCTGTTTACATGAAAACTTTTCCTTAATGTTTTGTACTGAGGAAATGTAAAATTGTGAATAATGATATGAGATGACAATTCTCTTTCATTACAATTATATCTCTACATTAATTTGATGAATCATGAAATTAATATACACATGAAGAAAAAAAAGCTGTCTCTGTATGTTTTCACAATCGAGAAGAAAATAACATAAACTGTGTATATGAAAAGTCTCAACTCTCAGGGTCTTACAAGTTTTATATCTACTCTTTTTCTGAAGTTATAGATGGATGTAGAAAAAAGAAATACTGACTGATCAATCAATCTTTTATAGCAAATGGTGTGAAGTAAAACATCTGAATTAAAAAAAAACAAAACATCTGAAGTCCATTATTCTAATATACTTGCCATCTGTGTACCTCTTCATCTGAATTCTATCTATTTTATCTTCAATTTATATTATAGGAGCATGCACCCCCCAATTCCTCCTTCCAAGCTTTAATTTATTCCAAAATACAATGTTATGATCAACCTTAATTATAACTCTATCCAATTATCATTAATTAAACAAGAGGCCCATGGGCCACATCGCTCACCTGAGCACTAAAAGTAGGAAAAGTAGAAAATGGTTTTTTACTGTAAAGTTTAAATCAAGTAGTCCCATGACCAATCATGGATTTGCTATTTTTTAGAAAATGATTTTTAAAGAATTTTCCTATATACAGTTAATTCTCGATAAACCGCCACCTTTTGTAATTTAGAAATCATGGCAGTATAACGAATTTGGCGATGAATTGAATTTCCCATCTTTTAGAGAACAAGAAGCAGAGTTATCGTTCTTAGAAATACCATTTAGCGTTTCTATTCTTAATATTACATGTTCATATATATAAAAACATATTTCTGATTGAAAATACTTCAAGTAATCTTTTTAATGTAAAAATTTCGCTATTTAAAACAAAATGTGCAGTTATGAAATAAAGACAAGTATTTGTATATGAATGTAAATCTGCACGTCCGATATTGAAAAAAAAAACATACTGGGTCGATTGTCATGATATATTGCCGATAGTAAATAAAATGAATTCTTGAATATATTCATTGTTTATGGTATCATTGTTAATGGAACGTTCACAATTTATATCGTATAATTATTTTTTCCAGCAAACTTTGCACTGTTTAAAGCAGAGTTCATCAAAATAATATCGTTATCGGCTTACTTTGACAACGACCGCTTTCCTGGCGAAGCTCTGACTAAATGATTATATTAAACAGAAAACAAAGTTGTTATAACAGTTCATGTTAAAACTAGGAAACTTATTGTTCACAGAACAATAAGAGGTCTTTCCACCTTCTTTGAATTTTTCAAATTTGTTTTATATTTTACTCCTTAAAATTAAATTCCATGAATAAGAAACCAAAATTGGCTAAAAAGATAGAAAAAATGAAAATAAAAAACATGGAAATGACCTTGACCTTTGACCTTGAAAAATTTTTCAAGGTCAAAGGTCAAGGGTCAAAATGCAATTGACCTCATGCTTCTACGACTTATAGTTTTCAAGTTATAAGGATTTATACTAAGTACAAAGAAGTTAAAGGGCAATAACTCATATAAGGGGTCATCAGATCCTTTCGCATTTATACAGTGAATTTAGGGCTAAAGACCCTGAACACATTAGTGAAGATTTGGTGTCTCTACGGTGTACGGTTTTGAAGTAGTGGCGAAAACACGGTTTTTCGTATAAGGGGCAATAACTTTCAATAGGGTCAATGTTAGGGGACAAGAATGAAATCTTTGAAATAGATCTAAGAGTACATATTATTGATGCAAAGACTGTTTGTATATATTAAAAGACAAAAGAGATATAAAAAGAGCTTATTTTCTCATTTTTGGAATGACCTTGACCTTTGACCTTTGCATAAGTTTAAAGGTCATAGGTCACTGATTCTTATGCACTTGGTCCTATGTCTCTATGACTTCTCGTTTTGAAAATTTTTAATTATTTGTAAAATTCAAAAAGTTTCAGGGGCAATAACTCATTGAAGGGGTCACCGAATGCTTTAGCAATGAATAGATTGAAGAATCCCCTTTATTAGTCGAAGACATTTGTAAAGGTTTCATACCTCTGTGGTTTACGGTTTCTGAGGAGTAGCGATAACAAGCATTTCTTGCGAAAGGGGCAATAACTTCGAAAGCGGTCAAGGTTCATTTACGCAGGGTCAACTGCAATAATCTTTTAAGGAGTACATTCTTATGGACTATAAATCTTTTCGATATATCTTCAAACAAAAAAACTTGCAGCGGAAAAATAATAAAAAAAACTAGTAAACTAATTGTTCAGAGAACAATAAGACGTCTTTCCACCTTTTTAAGTGTTTCAATATCATTTGGGCTGAAAAAAGTAGAAAAAAAGCAAGAAAATAAATAAAACAGCAAAATTCTCATTTCTGTACTAGGATTTTAGATCGGGCTCGCAGTTGTTATGAATATACCGTAAACAGACGAGTCGACTCGGGGATAACCACGGATTCATTCACTACGAAAAGAGAGCACGTTAAAAACACTGTAACACGCTCCTAGGTGTATATATGAGCTTGAATGAGATTGTTTTCGAGTTAAGATGTAAGGGGTAGGGTCTGATTAAAATTATGATATACCTATTAATATGAATAACATGCATTTGATCTGCGCATCAAGACGGAAGCGTAAGTGAAAACGTCGTGAAATGTCCCATGTGTACCTGCATCATATGTGCATTATACATGTATTAAAGAAATGTTTGAAAATATCCGATTTGAGTTGTTTATGTTTGAAATGGATGGCGATAAATTATTTAAGAGCATGTGAAAAACATAAGCGAGAGATGCAAGGCAGTTTGTATTTATGGAAAAGGAGAACAGAGAATCGGGTTCGGGTTTTAACATTCCTTACCGAAATAGGCAAGAAATTCAATGTAAGTAGCATAAATAAAATTCCAAACATGTAATTCTAGATGGGAAACACAGGGAAGAAACGTGTATTTCTTTTTACTAGGCTGAAAGTCGCTATTTCTTGGGATTATGTTATTCTAGAAAAAAAAAATCAAATTTCAAATGAAATCAAGATTCATTCAATTAATATTAAATCCAAATAAAATTGAAATAAATTCCATACACTAAAGAAAGCAAGAATACTTGGTATTAAAATGTCGTAATAGAGCAGGAGAATCGAATGATATTAACAAAAATTGCAGAAATAGCCAATAGGGGCTTTAATTAATTTTTATGCTCAGCAATAACTAAATTTCAGACAGAAAAAAAAATGCAGATTTTGCCGATTTTCACTAGTATGTCATTATTTTTCAGAGACTCACCTTAAAACTCTCAGGACACTTTCTTTAAGGTCTCTTCTTGCTTTTACTCCGAATCTTATGTCGATATATCGTATCGTTAGACTTTTAGACATTTTTTCTATGCTGCTGTTGATTTTTTTTTTTTAAGAAAGGAAGGGGGGGGGGGTTATAAGCATTTGTAAGAGTAAGGGTTGCAAATACCTCAACGACCTTAAGCTTGATTGTGACCTTTGGGTCAATAGGTGGTCAAAGGTCAAGGTCATTTATCAAGGTCAAAGGTCAAGGTCATCCATAAAAAAAAAGAAAGAGTGAAAGATAAACTTGAGATTAACACTTGAAGATGAATCTAATAAAGGTAATGAATATTTCTTTATTACTTTTTGAGTTAAGGGTCAAGGTCAAAGGTCAAGGTCAAATATCAAGGTCAAGGTCATTTGGATTTTTTTTAAAATAGCTTAATCGACAATTTCTCTAGTATTCCAATGACCCTGACCTTTGACCTTGACCTATTCTTCAAGGTCAAAGGTCAAAAGATCTCATGCAGTTGGGCCCATGTCTTTACGACTTGTCGTTAAGAGTTTTTAGTTCTTCGTAAACATCATCAACTAGCAGGGGCAATAACTACTTAAAATGGTTTACGAATTCTTTTGCACTAATGGAATGAGAAGTGTTCTAAATTAGTAGCAGACATTGTTGAAGGTTTTGTACCTCTACGGTTTACGGTTTCGGAGGAGTAGCGATAACAAGGGTTTACACTGAAGGGGGCACTAACTTTTAGAGGGGTCAATCTTAGGGGACAAGAATGAAATCTCTGAAATGGTTTTAAGAGTACATATTGAAGATGCAAAGATGTTTAGAATTTGGTTAAGAACAAAAGAGCTATTAAAAATGCTTAATTTTACATATTTTGAATGACCTTGACCTTTGACCTTGACCTAGATTTTAAGGTCAAAGGTCAATGAATCTTTTGCAGTTGGTCCCATGTCTATACGCCTTGTCGTTTTAGAAAAGTTCTTGATATTCGTAAACATTGCAAACATTCAGGGGCAATAATTTGTTATAAGAGCTTACGAATCCTTTCGCAATGTTTGATTGGAGAGTCTACTAAATTAGTCGTAAACATTAATTTAGGTCTGGAATCTCTGCGGTTTACGGTTCTGGAGAAGTAGGGATAACAGACATTTCTTGCGAAGGGGCAATAACTTCGAAAGGGGTCAAAAGTTCTAACATAGGGGGTCGTTTTTCGGAATAACTTTTAATATCCAGTATCATGAACTATAAAGTTTTTCGATAAGTCTTTCACGGTGTCAAAACATAAGGTGAGAAATAAAATAAAAAACAGAAGCATTTCAAGAGGTCTTTCCACAGAAAGGTGGAAAGACCTAATAAAAAAGAATAATAAACAGAAGAATTTCAATAGGTCTTTCCACAGAAAGGTGGAAAGACCTAATTATTGTTTATTTATTTGTTGTTTAATTACTTAATTGCATGTACCTTTTCTGCGTTTGCATGCTTTACAACAGGGATAGCGTCAACCGATTACCCGCGCTTCACTGACCACATGCACCTGTGGCGGTATATCGAGACAATTGACACTGAAAAATGATTGTTTGTTGT